CTATGGGTATTGAATAACACCTTTCCTTGGTGGATTGTGGATGTTACAACGTTTCAACAAACATGCTGTCTATGTCAAGCTTGAGAGAAACACAGAGACAGTATATATGTCAAAACATTCCCAGGTCCACTTTTTGGGCAATTTAATACAAATCATTCACTGTCAACCAGTGTATTTCATTATTTCATGCTGTTGTATATCAGCATAACTTTGTAGCTTAATTTGCAAACGGTTAACCAGGCCAAGTCAACCTCAATATTACACATCAAAGCTGTATTGGATATCAGTATGTGTTTTTTGGCATACTATGAAACAATATACATTGAGTGCTTTAAGGCAGCGTTGTCTATGAAGAATTTTAATTATTAGAACCCATCTAAAAAAAAAAACTCCTCTAATTAGTTTCACATAACCTGAAATATTTTAAAAGTTTTGGCGACTGTCATGTCCATGTCATACTACACTCTATATTTACTATATTTATGTACAAACTAATATATTTTAAATTTATATATTTATAAATGGCAACTCCTTCCCACTCCCTTTTCTTGCACCCCCTGCCTTTTACTGCTCATTCTTAATCATTTTCCTGTTTAAAATTGTTTTGAAAAATGTTCAATAAAAATTATTTGAAAATAATCCATCTAGTTATTCGTCTTTCCTATCTGACATCACATATTATGATAGTTCTGTTTGTGCTGTCTGTTTTATACGTGCGTTCTACTCAAATTAAATAATTGTCATTGCTATAAATACTGATTTAAATTTTTTTACAAAGACCATACGTTTTCACAATATGGGTTAGCTGGTAAAGTTTATTTTGTCGGCGGATCTGAAGAGAAACTGTAAAGTCAACTGACACCAAGGTCTCTGATGTTTGACCCCATACAACATTGTCATGTAAAACAAATTCTGCCGATAGTTTGAACAGCAAATGTTTTAGTCAGGCTGTACCAAAGTCCTCGTCTGTCCACTGGGTAAAGAAATTAACCAGAATTAACAAAAACAATCGGTATTCAGCAGGTGAGTCCGAATATCATGATGTAAATGAGTCAAACACCCAAGAAGATTATTTTGATTGACTTTCAGGTAATTCCTAATATCTCTGTAAGTTGAATGAAAGGTTTTTATGTGCATTGATCACATTAATGTGTGGTATTTTTAATGAGGTGTTTAAATGAGGTGTTTAAAGACATCCATGACATATATATTGCTATATGAATGTATATGTAGGCTTTTAAGCAACTAGGAGAATGGGGAGACTACATTGACTAGTCGGGTCAACATTGTTGACATATATTATGCTATGAAAGGAACACTTATAATTTCTAAACATTTTATATTTTTTCTTACGTACAAAAAGCAGTAATGAATATAGGCACTTGTTACGAATTGTACCCCAGAGATTTGCTACTGCAATGTTATGGTAGAAGTTGGCTTTGGAAATGTTTTTATTTCAATCAAACTGCCCTACTAGTTACATTATTGCAGTTTTTTTATATATATAATTTTATATTCTGTTGAATAAAATCCCCTGTCCTTCAAACTTTTGTGCATTTTGAGCATAATTTTATCGTTTATTTTCTGTTTTCAAACATAGTTTCTGGACTGAGGGATTTTCTGATACTTTTTATTTGAAGATATTTTTTTGCCGAGAGCTCATGTGAAGAATTGATTTGGTTCTTGTGGAATAAGGCTCTTGGGTTTAGACACTGCACCATGAACACGACCCCTTTACAGATTTGTGCCTTGGTCCTTGCATTGGCCGGAATGACTAGTATCCTGGTGTCCACTGTTTCCAGTAAATGGAAAACGTCCAGCAGTGCCAGCTCCATTATTACCTCCACTTCCACGTTTGAAGGTCTGTGGATGAACTGTATTGCCACCGCGTCGGGGTCTGTCCAGTGTAAGAAATTCTCCTCAATGTTCAGCCTGTCTAGTAAGTGACTTTGCCACCTTAATTATATGATTACTGATAACTAGTAGTTAACCTGATATTCCAGCTGTTGTAGCCACCAATTTCCGTACTGCCCATCCAGATAAACAACTGTCTGAACGGTGCAGGCAAAGAGAAATGTAGTCAACAAAAATATATTTAAAAAAAATTTACATAACATCCGAATAAGAACCTTACTTTTGATTTAACGTTCCCATTTGCATGACCTTATTCTGCGCGTATCAAAATGGAATTCTTACACTGAACCTCAATCAGACGTTTTTCTTTTATTTAATGTTATTGGTACATAAAGAAACATCTTCAGTTCCAGGAAAAGTATACTCTTACTAAAATTCTACCCATAGAAAATATCGCATTGTCCAACAACCTAAAGAACAAAACAGTGATTTCCTTTAGATGTTTGCCTATCACTATTCTTATCTTATTCTTTTATTAAATTAACAGGAGTTTTAGTCAAAGCAGCTTTGCTATAAAAACTTAGGGAAGTATTAAATAAAGATTTAGTCAATGTTTTTTTATTAGACTTGTGCACTGTGGAATTCAGTTTGTCTGAATCAATTCGTCCGAGAAAAAAAGTTATTCGGATTTCGGATGTGATGTTTTTGTTCGGAAGAATTTCATCTGTATGATTGTTTCAGGAAAAACTATTCAGATGGACCAAACTTGCATGAAAATGCTTCTATTAGTGCACTGCAATATATATAAAATATGCAATATGAACATATAATATATACAAGATTTAAATGAGAATAAAACACCAATAGAGCACAAAAAGGAGGAGCAGTAAAAATAAAAAATAAAATCAATATTTAAATATATATTTAATAAATATATGTTTTTTTAATGCTTCTCCTTTCCCCCTCTCTTTTGGGCACTTTGTTTTTGTCACTAATTTGTTTGGTGTCATGGACAGAATCACACAAGAAATTAAATTACTTGTTCACTGCCCTGTTTCTTTTTTTTTGTTATTCGTCCACATGGCGATTCAGAGTTATGAAATTCTAACGAATTGCTGATCACACAAAGTGGGAGGAATTGCGATCCATTTGAAACTAAATGTGCAAGACTTGTTTATATTGTCTGACCTTCCTTCACTATAAACTCCCTCCATATTGCTAAAACTGTCAGGTGATTTGTAGGCAGAGCCCAAAATGAGGTAGTAAGCTTAGAGGGAACCAAAACAAAGTACCGGTAATGATGAGGCAAAGACGTGGTCAAGGTAGCAACGGCTCATTTCAAGCAGCACAGTTACATAAATGTGTTCAGGCCAAAGATAATGAATAAAAGGGTACATGATTCTATGAATGAAATAGATAGGCTGAGAATCATCGGAGTTGTAGTTCAGCAACATCTGGAGGGCCGGAGTTTGGGGAAGCCTGCTTTAGAGCCTCAAAATCAGCCATGTTCTTTAGATTTATAGAGCTGGGGCTAAAGGTCAGTGGTGTACTGCCATTAATTGGATTTTCTACACCCTGATGCCTAGCATTTATTTAAAAACTAGATATATCAAAGCAAGTTTGGAACCACTTTCACTATTCAACTATCCTTTTGTTCACCAAAGCTATTTGTAACTCTACAATGTGCCTAAATATAGTCTGCATTAACCCACAGATTCCTTTCTAACTTGCTTTGTAAAGAGAATACAAACAGCTCAAACAATGTGCGTAATAAAAATAAATCACATTATTTTCATCAAGTGAGAAAATATGAGAACAAAACTTTGCACGCTGAGCAGAGGGTTAAATGGGGGGAAAAAGCATATTAAAGTGGATGTCATGCCTCTTTAGGTGTCTAACCACTAGGATCAAGCCTGAATGTTGAGAAACACATCCAGCTTAATACATGGATGGCCTTTGACACGTGTGTTTTTTTTAACATGATGGAAATCAGGGTCAATCCATGAAAAAAATGTCTTCAAACACATAGTATCGATTTGAACTCCAGTAGTGTCAGCCCACTATTAAAAGGGACACGAACGGCATTCATATTACTGTAGTTCATGCAAATCTAGGCAACATTATTTTCACCGGGAGTATTAAGCATATCCTTCAAACCTCTGCCCTAACTTCACCACTAATTTTGAAATTCAGGCCTGAATTTTCTCCATATTTCTGCTGGACAAAACTCCACTGGAAGACCAAATGCTGTAAATCTGGGCCCTGATGCTTCAACTCTAGGCCTGGTTGAAAAAAAATCAAAAAGTTAATAACCCATGGTGGCACAAGGGTTAATTATGTAGCGGCTGGCCCATGTTTGCCTGCCAGCCACAACATAAATAGTTAATTTAGAAAATGAATAAATAGGGGAGGAACCTGACCTTTAGGCGGCTCAGACGTGTGGTGCATGAACTCCTGATTAATTGGCTGATTTGTGGGTGACACCCCGGTCCACAAGCTGTTGAACCCACTAAAGTGCACCGCATAAGTTGGGTATTCCGAAGAGGGGAGAGAGACCTCACTCATAACTAACACCCTCCAGGAACCCAAGAAATCCTGCTGCAGCCTGCTGGGAACAGAGCTGGGGAGAGGCGGCTGATCTCCTTACTCCGCCATTTGCGGTACAGTCCCACAGCACCCCCCCACGGACCAGTGGGGGTTATCTCTTTCCCCACTGAAGTCAATTAAGCTATTTGTGCTGCACTTGCTCCAAGTTACATTCCAGCCGCACCTCGACCTCTGTGCTCACACAAGATGGCGGATGCATCTCACTGGGTCTGGCAGGGCCCAAGCATGTACCAAAGACGCAGACACAAAACTGTAGAATACACCTTATAACGCCTAGATGAAATCTTCTCCAGATTTTGGCTTAAGCTACGTGAGCGTCAAAGAGCCTCTGTGATTAAGCTGCAGGCAGAACGGCACAGTAGCACCGTGATGGAGAGGAGAGAATCCCCTCAGGGCAAATCTCGTCCACAAAGGCCTACCTATCCTGTAACCTGCCTTC